CCAGAGGCAATTTCAGTCTATAAATACTGCGCCATCCCAAAGGAGCACTTCACAAGTTCAATGTGTTAGAGCGTGGTTGATACTTTGCGTCATAATGGGGTACGAAACCATCGGCTGTGACGCATTCGACATGGCTATGGCCTGGGAAGTATTAATGGCGTTCATCTGGTTGTTCCTGTGCATCTCCATCTGTTGGCTAGAAGCCAAATTCTGCTGCGCCAGCAGCTGCTGGTTCGTGCTGGCCAACGCCAGTTGCTGAGGCACACTGGCCACGGCCAGCTGCTGGGAAGTATTGGCCATCGCTAGCTGTTGAGCCTGCGACGTCAGCTGCTGAGTAGTATTTGCCAAAGCCAGTTGCTGAGCCTGCGACGTCAATTGCTGGGTGGTGTTGGCGAGCGCCAGCTGTTGAGCTTGAGAGGTCAATTGCTGATTGGCCAGCTGCTGGGCCTGCGTGTTCAACTGTTGGTTGGCGAGCTGCTGGGCTTGAGAGGTCAGTTGCTGGTTCAGCTGTTGATGCGTCTGTTGGTTACTGGCCAGGGTGAGTTGCTGCTGTTGCGAGGTTAGCTGTTGAGGAGCACTGGCCAGAGCCAACTGTTGATTCGCCATGTGCTGGGCTTGCGAGGTTAACTGCTGAGTTGTCGTCGCTAAGGCCAGTTGTTGGGCCTGCGACGTGAGTTGGGGCTGGGCCTGCTGAGCTAGGTTGTTAGCCAAATTCTGCTGCGCGATTGCTAGCTGAGCTTGAGAACTATTTGCAAGGGCCAGCTGTGATGAAGGGTTTGTGGTTACTACAAAAAAAAAACACAATTTTCACCTTTCATGTTTGTTTTTCCACTTTGACAGAATTTTTATTTAGGTAGCCATTATTACTGCAAACAGAAATTACGGTATGGAATTAAAAAAAATATGTATAAAAGAAGGCTGTGTTATGTAAGGCATTATATGAACGAGTGAATTTTAACCCTTTGCGGCATCGATTTTTGATATAATCGGTTTCTCATAAAAATTGGTATCCAGGGATTTTCGAGGTCGCTGATTACGAATCTGACTTCAGATTTTAAAAATTCCAAATTGCGGATCCAAGATGGCGGACAAAAAATTTCAAATATTACCGGATTTCATTGAAAATTGATACACAGAGTATTTAGAGCTCGCTGATTACCAAGCTGAACTTAGATTGTTAAAATTCCGAATGGCGGATCCAATATGATGACTAAATATTTAAAATAATACTGAATTTCACCAAAAATTGCATATAGCAAGTTTTTCAAAAACGACAGCCTAAAATCAGGCAGAAATTGCTTCTTAATTTATCATTCGTGAAAAAGTAGAGAAAAAATACATTAAAAATGTTTTTAAAGTATAAGCTATGGAAAGTAATCAGTTCAATTTATATTAAAAAGAAAAACAAAAAAATTACAGTAAAAATAAAAAAAAAAATAAAAACTGAAAAAAAAATTTAAACCACAAAAAAAAAACAAAAAAAAAATGGAGATGATAACCGCCACGTCCTCGTTTGTATCTCTGGGTTAGGCTGAGAGCGGCTCTCTTTTTTTGATTCTACTGTCCCGAATTTCTGACGATTCTAAATCTCTTTTCACAAAAATCTGAGTTCAGATTCGTAACCAGCAAGTCCGAATACTTGTATATAACAATTTTTTTTAAACCGGTGTTATTTCAAATTTTTGGGTATCATCATGGATCCGCCATTTTTAATTTTCAAAATTTGAGGTCAGATCTGTAAACATTGTAAACCCTTATATAGTAATTTTCAATGAAATGATTGTATTTCCAATTTTCGTCGGCCATCTTGCACGCAATTTTGAATTTTCAAAATTTGAAGTTAGATTCGTAATCAGCGACCCCGAAAACCATTATATCATATTTTTTAATGAAATCCGGTGATGTTTGAAATTTTTTTCCGATATTTTGGATACGCCATTTTGCATTTCTAAATTCTGACATCAGATTCGTAATCAGCCACTCCAAAACCCATTGAAAAATAGTTTTTTTATGAAATCCAGTCATATTTGGAATTTTTTATCCGCGTTCTTGGATCCGCTATTTTGAATTTTCAAAATCTGAAGTCAGATTCGTAATCAGGGACCCCAAAAACCGTTGTATAATAATTTTTTATGAAATCCGGTGATATTTGAAATTTTTGTTCGTCATCTTGGATCCGCCATTTTGAATTTCTAAATTCTGACGGCAGATTCATAATCAGCGACCCCGAAAACCTCTGTATAATTTTTTCCGCACGATGATGCTAAAAAAATTTCTCCAATAATGAATTTTTGTTAAAAAAATTGTTGTTTTTTTTTAATTTGTTAATTAATATAAATAAATTAACAAACAAATTCATACTTTTGTTCATGAATTTTAATTCTGTAACATCCCACGATCATAAAAATACAAAACACGTCGGTTAAATCGAATTTAAACTACTTCAAAATCGCAAAAAACTGTTTTAAAAAAGGTGCCACCATGACGCAAAGGGTTAAAGGTTATCTGCAGATACTGTACACTTCTATCATTATTTCATAATAAGTCCATGTCAATTTAAATATGACTTTCAAAGAAGTGACATATTGATTTTCCAACACAAATTGGAAAGGTTGATTAAACCCTAACATATTAAAATTTGCCTTTCATTTTTGTTCTTTATTTATAGTTGGGCTGGCCAACAGATTATAGTAATAGAAGCGCGTCATCGGTATGTGCAGTGTTCAATTGGTTGTCACAAAAAATTTACCAAAACAGCTTGTTTTACATTGCAAAAAAATTGAAGTTGTTAACATATTATCATCAGAAAAAGATTTAGCAGATATATTTTAGAGATAAAAAAATCTCCATACATATGTAAACACATATGCAGTAGACACCAAAACAAAGACAGTGAAATATGTATGTGGAACAAATGACAGATAAAGAATTTCGTTAATAAGAACAGTTAAACTTTAAACATTAAACTTGTATTATATGAAATGTTAAAACAGAAGCCCGAAGAAAACGCCGCTGAAAACGCCGAAGGTTCCATACCCACTCCAGGACTGTTAAAACAGAGTTTGGACCTGTAAATGAGGTGCGGCTATTAAACAATCGAACTGCTGTCGTAACACTTTTTATTCGTTACCAATTACGCTAGCGACTTTTTTGCCTCCAATGTACTCCTCTTGGCGATCTCTACACCGCTCCATACGACGTTTCCGTTGTTGAAAGCAGTGCTGGGAGTTCGCTTCTGTCAGTTGGTTCAGGACCTCCGCCACTTTTGCTTTAATCGCTTACACACTTTCGAATCTTGTCCCCTTCAGCGCCGATTTGACCTTGGGAAATAAAGTCACAGGGGACAAGGTCGGGCGAGTATGGTGGATGTTCCAACACAGTAATGCCATATTTTGCAAAAAAAACGCCTTCACAGACAAAGCAGAATGGGCTGGTACATTGTTTTGGTGAATCTTTCATGATTTGGTCTTCCACTAATCGGGTTTTCGTCTTCTCACACGTTCACAAAGGGCCATCAGAACCTCGATGTAATAATGTTGATTGACCGTCTGACCCTCAGGGACCCAGTAAAAGTAAACAATGCCTCGAATGTCAAAAAAGACGATAATCATCGCTTTGAATTTGGATTTGCTCATCCTGGCTTTTTTTTGCCTTGGCAAGATCGGGCTCTTCCAATGCATGAATTGCTTTGTTTCGGGGTCGTAAGTAAAAAACTATGATTCATCACAAGTAATCACCATATCTAACAAGCCTGGATCACTGTCAATGTCTAGAGTGTCAGCGCAAATATTCATTCTTGATTCCTTTTGCTCGGGAGTGAGGAGTTTTGGCACCATTTTTGCACATGTACTTATTTGTCGATTCCTGTTATTTCAGCAAGCAAGATCGTCGGATGCTTATACGACAATCTTCGCGGATTAACTTATCAATTTTTTCAATGTTTTCGTCCGTGTTTGACGTTGAAGGCCGTCAGGGCGCGGATTGTCTTCGGTCGTTTCATGTCTCTCTTTAAACCATTCAAAAACTTGTGTGCGGAATAAATATTCATTCCCGTACACTTCTTTTAACATTGCATAAGCTTCTGTAAAAGTTTTCCCTAGTAGTTTAAGAAGAAACTTGAGATTAACCTGTTTCTCCATCTGAACACTTAACATTTTTTCGACACGTTACTGTAGACTAATTCAAACGGCTCGCTGTCGAAATCGTGTAGCGACACGCTCGACACGCTCGCCACACGCTGGTGGCAGCATCAGTTCGATTATTTATTAGCCACACCTCGTATCTGTTAGTCGACAAATATAGGCGAGGTTATGGTGACAATGACAATAAAATAATTTATTAAAATACAGGCCTGTTTAAAAAAATGTTGAATTGAAATTAGATGTATATACATTACCAACCGAAACTTTTGGGACAATATGTTTGTTTTAGAAAAATTAAGCATTATAAGTACTGAAACTACATTTAATACTTGTAGGTATAGAACACGGGTCTCGCTAGAGTACAGAGAATAATTATTTGTATTAATTATATTTCGCCAAGTAAGGATCATCACAGGGCCACACTAGTCCATATATGTACCTACGTATAATTAAACGTTAAATAATCATCGCGGACGCGAGGATCATAGCAGATCGGACCTGCCAATCTGGGACCATTAACATTATGGACGTTATGTTTTAGAACACGTTAAGCTGACCCAGTTGGCCCCGCCCACCATACGGCCATATTATCTTGTTTTCTTTGTAGGTGGAGTGATTGACCATGGAATGAATGAACAGATTTAGAAGAAGTTTTTGTCATTTCTGCAGGTGGAATCTGCCACACAAGTACGATAAAAACTACAACAAGTAATTGAGACTAATTTGATAAATAAATAAATAAATCACACCACAGAAATTGACATTCTCCCCTCTAAGAGTCATTACAACTATGTAGAGGGAGAATACACATGGAAAAGACGTAGGACACACAACCAAACCCTGTGACAGGATGCCAATTGCCACAGGCGGGATTCGAACCCGCGCGAATAATAGCTCTCGGAGTAATCGCCATCTGGCGCCTTACCCACTGAGCTATCGCCGCGATCTACAACTCTTTTCTACATTGAATAACCCCCTGAAAAATGAGGAAGATTTTGCTACAAGACTTCACCAAGTCTCTATATAAATATTCATTATTTTCCTATGTCCTAGTAGCTCATTGTTACTTCTGTAGATATGGAATGCTCATTTTCTTTGCAAGTGGATAATCGCTGTCCGAAAATATCATTTAACTCTAGCTCATAAGGAACACATTTTACCATATTTTTTTTGTCCCAACACTTTTGATCTGTACTGTCGAGTTATCTGAACATTTTACTATCAACTATTCATATTAAAAACGGTCCAGCCCAAAAATTAGATTGCTCACACTTACCAAGTATCTGTTGACTAGGCGCCAGCAGCTGTGCCGGAGACGCGATACTAACAGCAGGACAGCCGGCAATTGAAACGGAATGATTTCCAGATACAGGATTGCATGTCGACACAGTAGCCAAGGAGACTGGAACAGTCGCAACGCCGTAATGACTGTTCTACTGACCTGCTGAGGTGGGGCTTGGCTGTTCGTGTTCGTCAATGTAACAGCGGGTACACTGACGCTGCCATTGTGCTTTCCATTTACACGTAGGTTAGCATTCTGATCCAAGAGGAATTCATTTGTTGCAGTCAGGTCAGATACCTAATGGGAAATAAGGATTGTAAATACAGATTTTATCATAACTATTATTTTTAAATGTGTAACTTAGTAGTTGCACATTTAAGATAAAACTAAACTGCTCGTCAAAATTAGCATAACACTTTTTCGATGAGCGCCATTTTCGTTCTGTTTGAGCTAGAGACTTGCGGTTTGAAAATTCCGGTAGTCTATAGGGTTGGTTTTAATGCCCTGAAGTCGCTACACTGTGACTTAAACCGTTCACCGTCCACACCCCAAAAACCAACACCATGTCGAAAATTTGAATTTGCAAGATTTTGAAGGCAACTTCAGAGTCCTACAAGATGGACTAAAAAGGACGCTGTTGGATAAAAACCCCTGTTCTGGCACACACTACGACCTCCCCAACAAGTCCTGAGCATTTGGTCACTGCCTCACCCTTTCAACTCATTTTCCAGCCCCCAGTTGTGCTGGGTTTAACATGCTCTGACCACTGGTTGGCAGTTTCATTCATCCAAATGCTGCTAAAATCAATTGGTCTGGGGTATCACAACCAATTTTCACCCGCAGACCATTCAAACATCCCTCTACACCATCGCAACAATTGTAGGACTCTGAAGTTGCCGTCAAAATCTTGCGATTTCAAATTTCGACATGGGGTTGGTTTTTGGGGTGTGGACGGTGAACGGTTTAAGCCACAGAGTAGCGACTTCGGGGCGTTAAAACCAATCCTATAGGCTACCAGAATTTTCAAACTGCAAGTCTCTAGCTCGAACAGAATGAAAATGGCGCTCATGTAAAAAGTGTTACACTAATTTTGACGAGCAGTTTATTTTCTTTTTATGTGTATATCCTTTTCGCAAGTGGTAACCAAATTATTACTATAAGAATTGACATCATCAATGAAAACACCTTTAAAGACAAAATATGCCTTAAAATTAATTGTAACAAATTTCAATTGTTCAATTGTGTCCAGTATTCTACACGTTTGTAAAACACCTATGCAATTTTTTTATATTGGAAAAAATATAGTACACAGGAAAATTATTCTTAATGCAGAATTACAAAAAAAAATCATAAATTTGAAGAAGAAGAAGAAAAAAACGGAATAGTATGTCTAACACAATATAAATCGAAATAAAATCACTAGAAACACTTTTCCAGCGGTTAGAAACCAGCTTTTGTTGATTTTCTCTTTTAACTATATTGCTCACCATATTTCATAAGAAAATGTATTATACTAACCTGTTTTTTAAGCTGTACTATTTCTTTATGTAGCAAGCTGTTTTCTTCTTCTAACATTAAGGTTCTAAAAATTAATTACATTTAATACTTTCTTTCTCTTTACAGTAAACATCTTTGTTTTTATAAGATTACCTAGCATCAACCCGATTAAGTATAGGAGACGGAGGATTGCCTGCAAAATATCCCTTAAAAACTGGCCTGGTTCGATTTGGTTCTATCAGTTCACACGTTAAAATTTCTTGTTCCTGAGTAGCCAACAATCGTCTTTTGATTAAAGGAAGACCGCTATCTTGATAGTCATCAAAATTAACACCCGTTCTTCTCAACGCACCTGAAGAGACCAAATTTTACCTACATAGTTCATTCTTAAATGCTGGTTTATCACACAACTCACTATTTCAACATTATACATAAGAGACATCCAAAAAAACCATCATCAAAGTTGGCTATGAACGACAGAAATATGTCTTTTTTTACTAGGCCAACTTTGATGATGTTTTTTTTTTTGGATATAAAAGACAATCGACAAAAATTCTTATTTTTGTATTATAGTTTTTCAAAATACTGATTTAAAAACAAAGAAAAAAACAGAAAGTGTAGCAAATTAAAACCAGATGATGCAACACAAAAAGTGAATCATAATTAAAGTATCGAGCCATCCAAAAAAAAGTCATCAAAGTTGGCCGAGTAAAAAAAGATATATTTCATTCTTAAATTTATCTTATTTAATTGTCAAAGCTGTCACATTATTTATTTTACAACTGTGACAGTCAGTTGTCAAAACTTTGACATAACCAAAAAGCTTCGATATGACTGCTATTTCTATCTCTCTCATTCATAGCCAGATTTGATGCCTTTTTTTATGTCTCTTATGTTTGATAAAATGTGGAAAGAGGACAGTATATTTTATCACTTCTCAACATGAAGATAACGTCAAGAATTCTTTTTTTTTAATTCTTACAATATGCATACATCTGTAATAAGCAATATAATAAAGAGACATCCAAAAAAAACGTCATCAACTCTGGCTATGAACGGGAGATGGAAATAGCGGTGATGTCTAAGCTTTTCGGTTATGTCAAACTTTTGACAAGTGACTGTCACAATTTGTAAAATAAACAATGGCTGTCATATAATGTGATAGTCTTGACAAGTAAATAAAGTTATAAATTCGATTAGCTCGTTGAATAGAAACACGTTTCTTTTTTCACAGCCAACTTTGATAACGTTTTTTTTTTTTTTTCTTTTTTGGATGTCTATACTATTACTCACCATTAAGAGAATTGACATTAACAAAATGAGATTCGTTAACATTATTATTCAGTAAAACAGTGTGTTTTCTTTGGGTGTTATTTTGTATTAATTCCAGTATTTCAGCATCTTCCTGCTCTTTCGTTAGATGACGATACTTGCAAAAAGCTCTACGACAAAGACCCTTCTTGAACTGATTACAAATTGGTGGGGTACCTGATAGTTGATTCTTCCGTGTCGCTTCGGCTAAGATTTGATTAGACATTTCGCCCGTTCTTTTATAATCTTCCACTTCTTCTGGAGTACAATGAATAAATCTAAAACATTATTGATACATTTTGAACCACATAGTACCTAAATCCTGTTTATTTACAACTCATATTGCGAGAATAAAGTATATTTAATGGGTACTTACTTGCAATGAGCTCTAGGACAAACATTATTCTGATAATCGTGACAGAAATTTAATGTTTTTGTTTCATTTTCATGTTTGTATTTACAAAATTTTCGCTCGCATAACCCACGTATGAAGTCCCTACAGATGCTGTCCTCTTTATCATTTACTCTATCAGACTGAACTGTCTCCTCAGAAGTGTCAGACATGTTGTAATGTATATTAGTTGAACTACACAAGGATCTAAAAGAAAAAAAATAGTGACCAGTCTAACTCATCAGTTTCCAACATGGATACTCAAAACAACAATATAAAAATGTTATGAAAATGAAATAAACTAGATTCACAAATCTCATCATCTATAACCCTTATCTATATTATCTATAGAGATTGACAATGATAAATAGTCTGCAAAAAAAAAAAAACAAAAAACTGGACGTTTTCCACGAAACACCGAACTACTATACTTTTCTCGATGCGCGTTTCGCATCAAGTTGGCAATCTTCATCAACCAAGTTGGCACCTTCAGGAGAAGATTAAAACTAACACAATTAAAAAATATAAAAAACAGTTTTAATCTTCTTCTGAAGATGCCAACTTGGTTGGCGAAACACGCGTCGAGAAAAGTATAGTAGTTTGGTGTTTCGTGGAAACCTTCCAGTTTTTTGTTTCTACGCCGAAGATTCCAGTACCCACTCCAAAATTGTCTGCAGTTTACATAGTCCTGCAGTAGTGCACTACCTACACCGATTAATAAATACGAGGTGTGGCTATTAAATAACCGAACTGCTGTCATGACACTTTTTATTCTTTACCAATTACAGCAGCAACTTTTTCGCCTTCAATGTACTCCTCTTGGCGATCTCTACACCGCTCCATACAACTTTTCCACTGTTTAAAGCAGTGCTGGAAGTCCACTTCTGTCAACTGATTCAGAACCTCCATCGCTTTCGCTTTAACCGCTTCCACACTTTCGAATCTTGTCCCCTTCAACGCCGATTTGACCTTGGGAAATTAAAAAGTCACAGGGGGCAAGGTCGGGCTAGTATGGTGGATGTTCTCACACAGTAATGCCTATTTTGCAAAAAACGCCTTCAGAGACAAAGAAGACTGGGCCGGTGCATTGTCTTGGTGAGTCTTCCACAAATTGGGTCTTCGTCTTCTTACACGTTCACGAAGGACCGTCAGAACCTGGATGTAATAATGTTGATTGACCACCTGACCCTCAGGGACCCAGATTAACCCGTTGCTCCATCTGAACACTTGACATTTTTTTGAAGCGTCACTGGTGAGTAGACTAATTCAAACAACTGCTACAGTCAAACTGAGCGACTCACTGGCTTGTCTAGCGAGCTCAGGGTGGGGAAAGTATCACCAGATACAGTTCTGTTCAAACTTGTCGCAACACGCTGGTAGCTGCATCAGTTCGTTTATTCAATAGTCACACCTCGTATTGCCAATGTTACACAGAAAATATTGACTTTTTGACAGCTGTAGA